ACTATGAAAGTACTGAACATGTTGCGGGGGTATCGTGGTATTTTTCGATGTACTGAAAAAAGTAATATGGTAATAATAACATTATGTGTCTACATTATAATAACAACAACAAAAGTTTATTTCCATTTCGCCGTGAGTTACAAGAAAATAATAACTGAATTAACTTTATAAATAGCTGTTCGAAACTTAAGCAACTTTTTGATGTTCTTATGAAAATCGTTGGTCCTTTTGAGTTCCAAACACCTTTATGGAATAGATTAGTTACTAGTGTAGTTCGTAATGAATCCCAAGCGGATTTTAAGCCTTTCGCAAGCTGCAATGTTTTCTAAAACTGCGAGTTTCGACCCAGCGCTTCAGAATGCGGAACAGCATCTTTAAGGGACTTGAGTCGGGAGATTTTGATGGACAATCTAATAATTTGTTTCCCATTACTCGATAACAACTCTTAGATCAACTTTGTCAAAGGTTTTGGTTCATTATCATGCTATAAATCGCAATAAAGACCAAAGAAGCTCAAAAAGTTGCTTAAATTTCGAACAGCTATTTATGGAGTTAATTCAGTTATTATTTTCTTCTAATTCACAGCCAAATGGAATTAAACTTTGTTGTTGCTAGTATAATGTAGACACATAATATTATTATTATCAATTATATAATTTTGAATAAATCAATTAAAATAGAAATTATAGCACTTTGTATACAATGCCAAAAAAAAGTTGCTTAGGTTTCGAACAATACTGTATGTATATATCAAAATATTTAACAATACTTACATCTTCAATTTCTTCTTTAAATGAGTCTAGTATATAAGTTCGCAAAAAATTTAAGTGTTCAAAATACCACAATGTTGGTACAGATTTTCATTTGTGTTGATTTTTTCTAGTTCGTGTCTATAACGCTCTCGAATTCCGTAGAATTTCTTTTTTATTGTTTTTATTGTTGCATTGTTATCCAACACTATATATTTTGCCAAAAGTCTTTCCCACGACTTTTGTTTTTCATTTGGATCATTGTATTTTTTACTATCAGTTTGCCAAATGGCAGTTTCTTCCTTCAAAAATTCGATAAATTCAATTGTAAAGTGTTTACTTTGTATTGTAATAGACTGAAATGAGAAAATGTGAAAAATGAAAAAAATATGAATTTTGCTTGGATTTTTGTTCATCGGATAACGGGAAACCGTGCCAGAAAATTGCGTAAATTGTGTCATTAAAATTATATTTTCTTAAAATTTCGACCAAATCTTTCCAAAGAAAATTATTATCCAACAAGTTATAAAATGTTAATATCGAAAGATAAATAACGATGTTATATAATTGATCTTTTTTAGTAAATGTCTTGAAGAAATCAAAAAACGTTGGTCCAGTTTCCTGTTATCCAATTGGACTAAATTTTAACACTAGAATTATATTTACGTTGCTTGTGGGAGTTACAGATGAATCTTCTTTAGTCTCTTTTTCGGTGGGCATGGGTGTGTTGTTTTGGTCACTGTTATTAATGTTGCTTTTGAAAGATGAATCTCTTATAATATCTTTTTCCGGAGGCGTATGCGTGTTGTTGTTGGAATCATGGCCAGAGCTATTTACGTTGCTGCAAAGGAAACCGATGAATCTTCTGTACTCCTTTTTTCGACAAGCGTGTGTGTGTTGTTGGGTTCTGATCCGAAGTTATTTATGTTGTTTGTTATAATGATCTTGTGTAATATATTAGATGCTTCTTCTGATTTCCTCTTTTTAGGAGTTGAATGTTCGCTGTTGGAAATATAATTTGACCTAAAAAACAATATTAATAAAAACCACGATTTATTTTTTTAAACTTTATAATATTTGTTTCATTTCGCCCTTCCGATTTTAGAAACATTTCCAATCTTATCCATAGACGATCCTAGCCATACATGATTCTCACGATTATAAACTACTAAAGAACAAGTAAAGAACTAATGTCTAATGACGAAACCTAAATTTTGAAGACTGATAGAAAAAATGAAAATAATCAGAAGTCCGTCATATCCATCCTAGTATGCAGCATGAGGAAATGATAAATACATAAGTGTATAAAGTACCTTAAGCTTTTGGGTCTTAAATCATTCTAAGCTCCAGTTCTCCCCAAATCCGAAGTTGTTATGTCTAAGTTAGAAGTTGCGAAATTTCTCTTAGAAGGAATAGGAAGCGAAAAAGAGAAATCCACTAGATACATTAAGCCTTCGGCTAAAGACATTGAATATGCAGGAGTCTGTCCGACTGAGGTACAAACAAACTAATTAACAACTTAACTAACAAAGTAACTAACTAACTACTAACTAACTAACTAACGAACTAACTACATACTAACTAACTAACTAACTAAACTAACTAACTAACTAACTAACTAACGAACAACTAACTAACTAACTAACTAACTAACTAACTAACTAAACTACTAACTAACTAACTAACTAACTAACTAACTAACTAACGACGTAACTAACTAACTAACTAACTAACTAACTAACTACTACTAACGAACGACTAACTACTAACTAACTAACTAACTAACTGAACTACTACTAACTAATAACTAACTACTAACTAACTAACTAACTAACTAACTAACTACTACTAACTAACTAACTAACTACTAACTAACTAACTAACTAACTAACTAACTAACTAACTAACTAACTACTAACAACTAACTACTACTAACTAACTACTACTAACTAACTAACTAACTACTAACTACTACTAACTAACTAACTAACTAACTAACTAACTACTAACTAACTAACTAACTAACTAACTAACTACTAACTAACTAACTAACTAACTAACTAACTAACTACTAACTAACTAACTAACTAACTAACTAACTAACTACTAACTAACTAACTAACTAACTAACTAACTAACTAACTAACTAACTAACTACTAACTAACTAACTAACTACTAACTAACTACTAACTAACTAACTAACTAACTAACTAACTAACTAACTAACTAACTAACTAACTAACTAACTAACTAACTACTAACTAACTAACTAACTAACTAACGAACACTAACTAACTACTAACTAACTAACTAACTAACTAACTAACTAACTAACTAACTACTAACTAACTAACTAACTACTAACTAACAACTAACTTACTACTAACTTACTAACTAACTAACTAACTACTAACTAACTAACTAACTAACTAACTAACTAACTACTAACTAACTAACTAACTAATTACTAACTAACTAACTAACTAACTACTAACTAACTAACTAACTAACTAACTAACTAACTAACTAACTAACTAACTAACTACTAACTAACTAACTAACTACTACTAACTAACTAACTACTAACTAACTAACTAACTACTAACTAACTAACTAACTAACTAACTAACTAACTAACTACTAACTCTAACTAACTAACTAACTAACAAACTAACTAACTAACTAACTTACTAACTAACTACTAACTAACTACTAACTAACTAACTACTTACTAACTAACTAACTAACTAACTAACTAACTAACAACTAACTACTAACTAACTAACTAACTACTAACTAACTAACTAACTAACTAACTAACTAACTACTACTAACTAACTAACGTCAAACATCTTTGGGATCCAAATCTGTAATTATACCGTCAGACATGCCACACAATTTTTTGCACGCTTGATAAGAAAGCTACAACAACATTGCTTATTATAAAAACCGTTTGGATGTGTGTTGCTCTCATTGCTTTTCGTATTTTGGTTTTTGTTTGTTTCTTTGACGTTGTTGTTTGTATGTTTTACTATTCCGAGAAACCAAGAGAAAATTAAAATAATACATTTTTAGTTCCGTTTAAAAAACTGATTTGTGAATCCCCGAACACATACATACATATACATATATATTACATATTATAAATAATTATTACTCACTTTAGTGTATTCGAAACTTGTCCAAAAACGATAAACTTTCGGCGTATTTATATGGTGTACTATTTGTTTGGTGACTTCCTGATTTCATGTCTTCTTTATTTTATATCTATTGTAACCATCTTTCAAATTTTTCCATCTTTTTTTTAAAAAATCAACTTTGAAATATATAAAACATGTGACAATAAACAAATATGTACATTTAAAAACTAATAAAATTGTTTAAACTTAAATAGTACTTACCTGGTGCTTTAACATTGTTTGCAATTTCCTTCCACGCTTTTTCTTTTAACTCAATTTTTCTGTAATCTTTAGATTGCGTATTATATAAAATGTCATATTTTTTCACTTCTTTAATAATTAGTTCATCTAAATTCATTTTTCAATAAATATATAAATTTATTTGATCAAACTTATAGCGATGAGAATATGCGCAAGTAAAATGTTTTATTAAACTAAATGAGAATATATACGCGTCTTGTTTTATAACACAACTATAGTGTTAATGAAAATATTTATCAAAACAAAACAAAAAGAGCGGGAATATGATTTGGAAAAAAGCTTCAAAACAAATACATATGTACAGTAGTTTTTCGATTTAGCGAACCTATATGTTGTCAGGCCTTTTCGTTAAATCGAAAAGTTCGTTATATGCAGTACTAACTCGAAAGTGTCTTTTGGGTACATAAATAATTAAAATTACATAAAATCTAATTTATAAAAATATGTTCCAGGAAATATAATTTCTTTAGACAATATTTTATAAGAATTTTATGAAAAACTAGCAATTTATATCACAATGTAAAAACAATAAAGAAATTTGAAAAAACTCAGTTTATTTCGTATAACTAATCTACGTTCTGGAAAAGCACTCGGACGACATAATTCTTAAAGAAGTTTAAACCCAATGGCTGAAATTGCGATGAATCTGAAGCTGGCCTCAGAATTCCTTAGGAAATAGATTAATGTAAAGCTATTAAAGCGTTTCATTGTTTCACAGTTTCATTGTTTTCATTCTTTGAGATATCTGAACATAAAGTTTTTTAAAATATTTTTTCCTTTATTTCACAGCTATTCCTGTAAATATCCTTTTTTCCAAAAGAAAAACTATTTATATTGTTTATTCTATAACATATCGTTTCTTACAATTTCTTAGAATTGATTTTTATTGGACAAAAATTATGGTCACAGTGGGGACTTGTTAGTTTGGCGAAAAATAAAAGCAAAATGTTAAGGTATACGATTGGCAAAGTCTTTATTTTGAACACCAATTTCTATGATTTCAAATTCTAAGGCCAAATTCGGGTTGATCACGAGCTTCTAGAAAAGTATACTTTGGCCTCTCTAAACATTTTTTGTTCCGATTTTCTAATTCGATCACATTAGTTTTTGGGACATTAAGGATTGTAGATTTGATTATCTCATATTTTTGTATAAATCTTTAATAAAAAAATCTCAGATTATCTAGATTCTTCATTTTACTAAAATAAATACCCCTCCTAATAACGTCGAAGCTTTTCTGACATGATTCTTAGTTATTTTTGTTAATTTAACTCTAATTTAAATTATTTTATTTATATTTGTTCGTTAAACTGAGTACAAAAAATATTTTTTGTTCGTTATGTAAGGTACTCAATGTAAAAATATTGATAGTTCGCTAAATGCGATGTTCGTAGAAACGAATGTTCGTTAAATCGGAAAACTACTGTACTTATGTGAGTTTCACATATGAGATTTTACGTACGACTTTACGTATGTATAAGGGTGTAGCGATAATTGTTTACAATTTTTATACCCTACACCACTTTAGTGGGGAGGGTATATTGGGTTTGTGCTGATGTTTGTAACGCACAATAATATTGGTCCTATACCCACCTTAAAGTATACCAATCGGCTCAGAATTATTTTCTGAGACGATTTAGCTATGTCCGTCCGTCTGTCCGTCCGTCCATGTAACCTTGTAATCAAACTACAGGTCGCAATTTTGAAGATAATTCAATGAAATTTGGTACATGATCTTCTATTGTCCCAGGGACGAAGCCTATTGAAAATGGTTAAGATCGGTCCATTATTTCACCTAGCCCCCATACAACTGAACCCCTCGAATTGGGCTTTTAAAATTTGTAATCAAACTACAGGTCGCAATTTTGGAGATAATTCAATGAAAATTGGCACATGATCTTTTATACTACCGTAGATGAAGCCTGTTGAAAATGGTTTACATCGGTCCATTATTTCACCTAGCCCCCATACAACTGAACACCTCGAATTGGGCTTTTAAAACTTGTAATCAAACTACAGGTCGCAATTTTGGAGATAATTCAATGAAATTTGGCACATGATCTTTTATACTACCGTAGATGAAGCTTATTGAAAATGGTTTACATCGGTCCATTATTTCACCTAGCCCCCATACAACTGAACACCTCGAATAGGGCTTTTAAAACTTGTAATCAAACTACAGGTCGCAATTTTGGAGATAATTCAATGAAATTTGGCACATGATCTTTTATGGTACCGTAGACGAAGCCTATTGAAAATGGTTACCATCGGTCCATTATTTCACCTAGCCCCCATACAACTGAACCCCCGAATAGGGCTTTTAAAACTTGTAATCAAACTACAGGTCGCAATTTTGAAGATAATTCAATGAAATTTGGCACATGATCTTTTATACTACCGTAGATGAAGCTTATTGAAAATGGTTTACATCGGTCCCCCATACAACTGAACCCGCCGAATAGGGCTTTTAAGTTCATAATTATGTTTAATATACTCATATCTCGACAAAAAGCTGCAATAACCAAGTTGTATACAAGACTTGATGACCCCCACGAATTCCATAATAATAGGTTCTCATATGACCCTAGCCCCTATGAAAAGCCCCCATCAAAATTTCGCTTAAATGTCCACAATTTTATTCAACAATAAACGGCTTAAGTATGTATATCTAAGGCAAGGTACAATTCAACTTAAATGCTTTATTATGGCAACTAAATCACATTATATTTTTGTCAAAGGTGTAGGGTTTTATATGGTCGGCCTCGCCCGACTATAATTTTGTACTTGTTTATACATAGACTTGTATACAGGCTAAAACCGCACGTTTGTTAAACTCCTTATAAAAAAAATTTGACAATCATGCGGTTGCTCTCAAATTTCACACGTTTGTATGCTTATACATGTATAAAAAACTATAAGAACTAGTAAGAGAACTTATTTTTTACTCTCTGCCGGTGCAGGTTATAAAGTTTATTATTTAATAAACACAGATGGCGACATGGCTCTCTTAAAAAAAGTTCTCTTAAGCTCAGTGACGTCATCAGTGCCTAGAACTGATTGTATGATATGAAAATTTTATGTGATTTATAATAGAAAAGTAAATAATTATATTTAAAACTTATTTATGTCTAATAAAATAAAATGTATTTTACGTTTTATGTTATTAGGAATATGCTATGGGGGCTCCAAGTACACCTCCCCCAGATGGAAGTCCGCCCTTTTTTCTCCAAAATGATCAGATGAATAATAAAATTCTTCGTACAAATTTGAAGAATCTATTTGTATTAGTTTCCCAGATAAACGAAATTTTATATTTAATTCATATGGGAGGTGCAAAGCTCCCCTTGTAAGTCCGCCGTTATTCTCTAAATGTTTAGATGAATGTTAAAGTTCTTCAAGTAAAATTTGAAGATTATAGCTCTAATAGTGTCTGAGATATACTAATTTTTCTACTTAATTCATATGGGGGCTCCAAATCAAAATTTTGGCATTATTTTTTTGATATTTTTACATTTTTACTTATAATAGACTATAGACTAGACTATAGACTAGACTATTGACTAGACTATAGACTAGACTATTCTATTGACTAGACTATAGACAACACTATTGACTAGACTACAGACTAGACTGTATACTATACTGTAGACTAGAGTGTAGACTTGACTATAGAGTCTATAGTCAACTAGACTAGACTTTAGACTAAACTGTATACTAGATAGTATAGAGTAGACTAGATCATAGAGTAGAATGTGAACTAGACCATAGAGTAAAATATAAACTAGACTCTAGACTAGGCTGTCAACTAGACTATAGAGTAGAATATAGACTAGACTCTAGACTAGACTATAAACAGACTATAGACTAGACTATAGACAGACTATAGACTAAATCATACACTATACAACAGACTAGTCTGGACCATAGAATAGACTGTAGACTATACTATAGAGTAGAATATAGACTAGATTCTAGACTAAACTACAGACAAGGCTGAAGACTAGACTATATACTAGACTATGGACTAGATGATTTACTAGACTATTGACTAGACTATTTACTAGACTATTGACTAGACTATAGACTAGACTGTGGACTAGACTATTTATTAGAATATTTACTAGACTATAGACTAGATTATAGAGTAGTCTATAGACTAGGTTATAGACTAGACTAGACTATTGGCTAGACTATAGACTAGACTATAGACTAGACTATAGACTAGACTATAGACTAGACTATAGACTGGACTATAGACTAGACTATAGACTAGACTATAGACTAGACTATAGACTAGACTATAGACTAGACTATAGACTAGACTATAGACTAGACTATAGACTAGACTATAGACTAGACTATAGACTAGACTATAGACTAGACTATAGACTAGACTATAGACTAGACTATAGACTAGACTATAGACTAGACTATAGACTAGACTATAGACTAGACTATAGACTAGACTAGAGACTTGACTATAGACTAGACTAGACTATAGACTAGACTATAGACTAGACTATAGACTAGACTATAGACTAGACTATAGACTAGACTATAGACTAGACTATAGACTAGACTATAGACTAGACTATAGACTAGACTATAGACTAGACTATAGACTAGACTATAGACTAGACTATAGACTAGACTATAGACTAGACTATAGACTAGACTATAGACTAGACTATAGACTAGACTATAGACTAGACTATAGACTAGACTATAGACTAGACTATAGACTAGACTATAGACTAGACTATAGACTAGACTATAGACTAGACTATAGACTAGACTATAGACTAGACTATAGACTAGACTATAGACTAGACTATAGACTAGACTACCTAATAAAGTCTGTTACACTATCAACTACGCTAAATATGCTTCGCTACATATGTATGTATAAGAATTCAGAACTGAAATGAAAAATTTAAATTTTGAAATGATACTAAATATTTCCAAAAATAATAGGTACTTACATATTTAAAACAGCTGCATGTTATCATGTGGTAGGCCATGGTCGATTTTATTGATATAAAACAAGTAAGAGTACTATATTCGGCTATGCCGAATCTTATATATCCTTCATCATAGTGTATTTAATAAATATCAATTTCATACAATTTAAATTTATTTCATTTTCCCGACTACCTATATCATTATTATAGCAATAGCAAAACAAAATGAACAACAACAACAACGTTAAACGAAATAAACACTAGGGTTTTATAGTTGAAACGAAAAGTCGACTTTTCGACTTTTTTCATTTAGTTAAAAGTTGACTTTTCGTCTTTTTGCATTTTATGAAAAGTCGATTTTTCGACTTTTTCATTGAATTAAAAGTCGACCTTTAGACTTTTCGACTATAAGTATTTTACAAATAGTCGACTTTTCGAATTTTTTCGACTTTTCGACTTATTTCGACTTTTTTCGACTTTTTCCCAGGGTTTCAAAAAACTGCTAATTGCAGTCGCAAATTACTAAATATTTGACTAAATTTAGTGCCATGCTTAAAAAATAGTAGCTCGTTAAAATTTCCCCTTACAAGCTAACTGAAGTCAGTCAACTGTGTCAACTCATTGCTGCAATAACTTGCAAGTGGTTTTGTTTTTCTTCAGCAGCCACACACACAAGTAGCGGCCATGTTAAGTTTTTCAACTCAGCCGAACTGAACACAACGACTGAACAGTAAAAACAGTTTTGCGTGTGCTGCTTACGTATTGCTTAGTTCTTGGTTTCGTTTTCTTACTAAGGGACGTAAAAAAAAACTGATAGTTAGACTGGTTAGTACAAATCAAGCTGACTGAACAATAAAACTTGATGGGTTGTTTGTTCAGTAAGACTTTGTTATTGTATGCAATTTGTTTTAGTATATTGTATGTTTTTGTGTTTAAATTTGACAAAAGTAAACAAAGTAATTGATAATTATTGCTAATAGAAATTGTTAATTAATTTAAAATTTATAAAATTATAAATTACTAAACTTATAAATTTAGATATTCTCTTTAAATAAAAATTGATTTAAATTTAAGCATTTTGATGATTTTTTAGTGAGATTTTGTTATTGTATGTATGTATGTATATTAGGGTGGGTCGAAAATAGGCTTTTCGCTCGGATCAACATCTAATAGTGAAATTGTGTTGTATTTTAACGTCAAATGGAAGACTGTAAAATATTTATTATTCAATTATTTTGAGGGTAAGAGCCCGCGCATCGCTGCCAAAGTTTGTAAATGCGTTTATATGGGAAAAATGGCACTTTTTGGAGTTTTTTCACAAAATGAGGCTTTAAGTATTAATTATTGCACCATTTTATAGCAAAATCGTAATGTCTACAAAATTGTCTTTCCAAAAAGATGGAAAAACTCAAATTTCGTTAAACAAATTTTGAGTTATTAAAATTTCCCCCGAGAATTTTGTGATTCTGAAGACATATAAAAGTAAATATAAGAAAATTTTTGTTAGTTTTGAAAAATTTTACAAAAAACTATTATTACCAATTGTTGCTTAATTTTGATCAAGTAAATTCCGAGTTCATGGAAAGTTAGTTCTAATCAAATTTTCGAAACTAAAAATCATTAACCCTCTAAACACCGGGGTCAAAATCAAATTTTTGAATTTTATGTTCTTGAAGAAATAAGAGCATGATGTTGTTAATTTGTTGATGGATATTGATGAAACTTCTTAGAAGTTATTTTTACTACATTCAAATAATACGATAAACCAAATACTGGATATATATCCATTAAATCTTTAAGAAAATTAATTTTAGAAAATTCCTTTATAAAAGTGTTTTTTGTAGTGTTTAAAAAATCGGTCTTGAATTGACCCCAAGTATGACAGAGGGTTAATTTTTGAAGAAGTTTGATTCCTAGATTTCTGGATATATTTTCGTGTAGTTTGTCAAAATGAATTCATAATTAAATACACAATATTTTGCTATTTTTAATGAAGAATATTAAATATACAAAAACTTGATTTTGACCCCGGTTTTTAGAGGGTTAATGATTTTTAATTTCGGAAATTTTATCAGAAATAACTTTTCATGGACTCGGAAATAATAATCGCAATTTAATTGATCAAAATTAAGCAACAATTGGTAATAATATAATTTTTACTTAATTATTGGCAAAAATTGCCTTTTTCCCGAAATCCTTCAAATTCACATCGCAGGTACGGTAAAACTATGAGAGGTATTAAGCTCATTCTTTCTGTGTTTAATTCTTATATATATCCTTTATAATATCCAGCACAGAAACCTTTAATTTTTAATAAACCATTTAACAAAATTTTTTAAAGTTTGAAAATGGAGTTTTGGAGATGCTGTTAAAATAATGGCCCTTTTTTGACCACAGACTAAACCGAGTAAGCGTTATCCAATTTGAACAAAAATTCGTACTAGCACATTTATGAACCTTATAAAGATAAACATAATATTTTTTGTAAAATTTTTCAAAACTAACAAAAATTTTCTTATATTTACTTTTATATATCTTCAGAATCACAAAATTCTCGGGGGAAATTTTAATAACTCAAAATTTGTTTAACGAATTTTGAGTTTTTCCATCTTTTTGGAAAGACAATTTTGTAGACATTACGATATTGCTATAAAATGGTGTAATAATTAATACTTAATGCCTCATTTTGTGAAAAAACTCCAAAAAGTGCCATTTTTCCCATATAAACGCATTTACAAACTTTGGCAGCGATGCGCGGGCTCTTACCCTCAAAATAATTGAATAATAAATATTTTACAGTCTTCCATTTGACGTTAAAATACAACACAATTTCACTATTAGATGTTGATCCGAGCGAAAAGCCTATTTTCGACCCACTCTAATATACATACATACAATAACAAAATCTCACTAAAAAATCATCAAAATGCTTAAATTTAAATCAATTTTTATTTAAAGAAAATATCTAAATTTATAAGTATAGTAATTTATAATTTTATAAATTTTAAATTAATTAACAATTTCTATTAGCAATAATTATCAATTACTTTGTTTACTTTTGTCAAATTTAAACACAAAAACATACAATATACTAAAACAAATTGCATACAATAACAAAGTCTTACTGAACAAACAACCCATCAAGTTTTATTGTTCAGTCGGCTTGATTTTTACTAACCAGTCAAACTATCAGTTTTTTTTTACGTCCCTTAGTAAGAAAACGAAACCAAGAACTAAGCAATACGTAAGCAGCACACGCAAATCTGTTTTTACTGTTCAGTCGTTGTGTTCAGTTCGGCTGAGTTGAAAAACTTAACATGGCCGCTGCTTGTGTGTGTGGCTGCTGAAGAAAAACAAAACCACTTGCAAGTTATTGCAGCAGTGCGTTGACACAGTTGACTGACTTCAGTTATCTTGTGAGGGAAAAATAAATACTTGAACTTTCTTCAGTTCAGTCGACATTTAAAAAAATAAAACTAAAAACTAAATATTAAACCCTGCTATAAACTGAGTAGAGTAGAGTGTAGACTAGACTAGCTTAGACTAGCCTAGACTATAAACCAGACTATAGACTGGACTATCGACTAGACTACAGACTAGACTTAAGACGATTATAGACTAGACTATAGACTAGACTATAGATTAGACTATAGACTAGACTATAGACTAGACTATAGACCAGACTATAGACTAGACTATAGACCAGACTATAGACTAGACTATAGACTAGACTATAGACTAGACTATAGACTAGACTGTAGACTAGACTATAGACTAGACTATAGACTAGACTATAGACTAGACTATAGACTAGACTATAGACTAGACTATAGACTAGAATATAGACTAGACTATAGACTAGACTATAGACTAGACTATAGAGTAGACTATAGACTAGACTATAGACTAGACTATAGACTAGACTATACTATAGACTAGACTATAGACTAGACTATAGACTAGACTATAGACTAGACTATAGACTAGACTATAGACTAGACTATATACTAGACTATAGACTAGACTATAGACTAGTCTATATAGAACTAGAACTGAACTAGAACTGAACTAGAACTGAACTAGAACTGAACTAGAACTGAACTAGAACTGAACTATAAAAAATTCCCTAAAAAACGACATTTTTCTATAGAAGATTTTCTAAAAACAATTACCTACAAAATTCTGCATAAAAAATGCGTTGTTCTATAGAAAACCTGCCTGAAAAAGGAAACTCTCATAGAGAATACTGTCTAAAGAAGACTTTTTTCAATGGAATTCTATCGAAAATACTCTTTAAGAAGAAATCATTCTATAGAGAATACTTATCTATAGATTTCTGTCATAAAATACACTTTTCTATAGAAAACTGCCTAAGGAAGAAATTTTTTATAAAAACTGTTACAAAGTTACTTTTCTATAGAAAAATTTCTAAAGATCTGTAGAAAACTTGTCTAAGATTTTTTTCTTTTTATTTTAGAAAAAAATTCCGTTAAAAAACTAGTACAACGGTGATTATTTGCAATAATTTATGCATTTTTTAAAAGAAATGTTTAAAGCAATTTGTAAAATAAATATTTGCGGTTTTTTTTTTGCGATAAAAAAATAAATTTTCTTTATTGTACCCTCCACATAGAAATATTTTGAAATTGATTAAACACTAAACGATACAGAAGTTTTAAATAAAAATAATAATAATATAATATAATGAGAGTGGTTTAGTAACAAACAAACCAGTGCCTGTGTTCTGTAACTTTCGAAACGATATTATTTACAAAAAATTATCTATAACAATTTACATATGTATGTGTATATCTGTACACTTCCCTGGTTTGATATTCAGCCCATATTCTGCAAATTATTTTAGTTTCTCGAATTTTCATTTGAAAATGTACAAGATGGTTCACATTTCCTGGCTCGATTTTCATGATAAGGACAATGCTAGTTTCTACAAATTGAAAGAACACGAGGTCGTAAACTACTTCTTCTATTTGGTATTCCATGGTGTTGTATTGATGATAGTGTTGGATTAGTGGTGTTAGATTGTTGTTTTATATTGGGATCAAATGTAGGAGTAATATTGTTTTCTCCAGTATCAATTGAACTGGCCACCGCCAGCTGGCCCAATTCCGCGAACACAAGAGTTTCATCTATCAGACGTTTAGCTAAAACTTTCTGATCTGGCGCCAGCTTACGATATGTGACTATCCACGATTCACCATATATATCAGCTTCATCTCTGTTTGGCACCTGGCTGGATTTTTGCGGATGATTGAGCCGTTGAGGAAGCAATTTCTTCCTAAAACATATTTTTTATTATTATATGATTTTTTATTATTATATATAATGGATAGATAATATTCTCTAGAAGGTAAGATTTGGTCGGAATGTTAAGAAAAGATAATTTTAATGGCATAATTTTTGAAGAAATCAAGAAAGACCTACTATTTATAGACTATACTATAGAATAGACTATAGATTAGACTATAGACTAGACTATAGACTAGACTATAGACTAGACTATAGACTAGACTATAGACTAGACTATAGACTAGACTATAGACTAGACTATAGACTAGACTATAGACTAGACTATAGACTAGACTATAGACTAGACTATAGACTAGACTATAGACTAGACTATAGACTAGACTATAGACTAGACTATAGACTAGACTATAGACTAGACTATAGACTAGACTATAGACTAGACTATAGACTAGACTATAGACTAGACTATAGACTAGACTATAGACTAGACTATAGACTAGATATAGACTATAGACTAGACTATAGACTAGACTATACTACTAGACTATAGACTAGACTATAGACTAGACTATAGACTAGACTAGACTATAGACTAGACTATAGACTAGACTATAGACTAGACTATACTAAGACTAGACTATAGACTAGACTATAGACTAGACTATAGACTAGACTATAGACTAGACTATAGACTATATGACTAGACTATAGACTAGACTATAACTAGACTATAGACTAGACTATAGACTAGACTATAGACTAGACTATAGACTAGACTATAGACTAGACTATAGACTAGACTATAGACTAGACTATAGACTAGACTATAGACTAGACTATAGACTAGACTATAGACTAGACTATAGACTAGACTATAGACTAGACTATAGCTAGACTATAGACAGACTATAGACTAGAACTATAGACTAGACTATAGACTATAGACTAGAATAGACTAGACTATAGACTAGCCTATAGACTAGACTATAGACTAGACTATAGACTAGACTATAGACTAGAGACTAGACTATAGACTAGACTATAGACTAGACTATAGACTAGACTATAACTAGACTATAGACTATAGACTATAGACTAGACTATAGACTAGACTATAGACTAGACTATAGACTAGACTATAGACTAGACTATAGACTAGACTATAGACTAGACTATAGACTAGACTATAGACTAGACTATAGACTAGACTATAGACTAGACTATAGACTAGACTGATAGACTAGACTATAGACTAACTATAGACTAGACTATAACTAGACTATAGACTAGACTATAGACTAGACTATAGACTAGACTATAGACTAGACTATAGACTAGACTATAGAACTAGACTATAGACTAGACTCTTTGTATGTTCTATGGCATGAGTTCAAAAACACATGATTATTAAACATACTCGGTCTTTTTTGAATATGATTCTTTAAGAGAGAGCATTTTAATAATTTTTATTTTAAAAATTTCGATAACATTTGAATAGAAAAACAGAACATTGGTTAGGGTATAGTTGCGTTGTAGTTCCGTTTGAAATATTGATTTGTGAATCCCCGAACACACACACATACACACATACATATATAATTAAATATTATAAATTATTCTTACTCACGCTTGTGTATTTCGAAACTTGTCCAAAAATGATAAACTTTCGGCGTATTTATACGGCCTACAATTTTTTTGATTACTCCCAGATGGCATGACTTCTTTATTTTTATATCTATTATAACCAATTCTCATACTTTTCCATTTTTTTTTACAAAATCACTTTAAATATATAAAACATGTGAAAATAATCAAATACGTTAAAAACTAATAAAATTTTCTAAAACTGAATAGTACTTACTATCCTCCTTAACATTCTTTGCAACTTCCTTCCACTTTTCGTCTCTGATCCCACTTTTTCTGTAATCTTAAGTTGCGTATTATATAAAATTTCATATTTCTTAACTTCTTTAATAATTAGTTCATTTATATCCATTTTTTAATAAATATATTAATTTATTTTATCAAACTTAAAGCGATGATTAAGTGTATAAGCAAAGTGTATTATTAAACTGAATGTCACGAACTTTATATACGAGTCTTGTTTTTAAACACACTATAGAATATATATAATATATCTTGGTGCTAATGAAAATTATTAGCAAAACAAAACAAAAAGAGCGGGAATATGATTTTGGTAAAAAGATACAGTTGAAATCATATTGTTTTCTCGTACAAAACTACTAATTAAATAACTAGCTTGTGCAAGATGCAACACTGCGTTGTATCTTGGATAAAACACCTCAAATATGGGCTATCAATTCTAATTGAATGTTTTCATCGAACAAGTAATTCATTTCGTATTGACAAATAACAACAACTATAATTTTTAATTAGTGGCATTTAAATAGATACATTTGCAACCGTAAGTTTCTATTTTTAATATATAATTCTAAAGAATATCCAATTTTTTTCGTTTAAAATCAAAATAATATTATCGAATTGTTCAAATATCAAAAACGAGTAAGCTCAGTGGAAGCACCTTAAAGTCCATAGATTAGTCAATAATTTATACCATAGAATAGTCAGTAGGCTCAATAGACTATCCAAATACAAGACAGAAGACTACTCTGTAGAATAGCTAGTTAATAAACACTAGTCAATTGGGGGGGAGTCCATAGACTAGTGAAGAGACTAATTAAGAGACCAGTCAATAGGCTAATCTATCACCAGTTCAAGAACTACTCAAGCGACATTGAAATTTTGATTTAGCGTTATATTCTCCAGTTAGTTAGTTAGTTAGTTCGTATTAGTTAGTTAGTTAGTTAGTAGTTAGTTAGTTAGTTGTTAGTTAGTTAGTTTTTGTTAGTTAGTTAGTTCGTTAGTTTGTTAGTTAGTTAGTTAGGTAGTTATTTTGTTAGTTAGTTAGTTAGTTCGTTCGTTAGTTCGTTAGTTTGTTAGTTATTCGTTTTTTTAGTTCGTTCGTTCGTTCGTTAGTTCGTTAGTTCGTTCGTTATTTAGTTCGTTCGTTCGTTCGTTCTTCGTTCGTTTGTTCGTTTGTTATCGTTTGTTCGTTCGTTCGTTCGTTAGTTTCGTTAGTTCGTAGTTCGTTCGTTCGTTCGTTGTTCGTTCGTTCGTTCGTTGTTCGTTCGTTCGTTCGTTTTCGTTCGTTCGTTTGTTCGTTCTTTCGTTCGTTCGTTCGTTCGTTCGTTCGTTCGTTCGTTCGTTCGTTCGTTCGTTCTTCGTTCGTTCGTTCGTTCGTTCGTTCGTTAGTTCGTTTCGTTAGTTCGTTCGTTCTTTTCGTTGTTCGTCGTTTAGTTTTCGTTCGTTCGTTCGTTTTTCGTTCGTTAGTTAGTTAGTTCGTAGTTCGTTAGTTAGTTAGTTAGTTCGTTCGTTATTTCGTTAGTTAGTTAGTTCGTTTTTTAGTTCGTTCGTTCGTTTCGTTCGTTGTTCGTTCGTTTCGTTAGTTCGTTCGTTCGTTCGTTCTTCGTTTCGTTCGTTCGTTCGTTTTTCGTTCGTTCGTTTCTTGTTCGTTCGTTCGTTCGTTCGTTAGTTCGTCGTTCGTTCGTTCGTTTCGTTCGTCGTTCTTTCTTTCGTTCGTTCGTTCGTTCGTTCGTTCGTTCGTTCGTTTCGTTCGTTCGTTCGTTCGTTCGTTCGTTCTTCGTTCGTTCGTTCGTTCGTTCGTTAGTTCGTTCGTTCGTTCGTTCGTTTCGTTCTTCGTTCGTTCGTTCGTTCGTTCGTTCGTTCGTTCGTTCGTTCGTTCGTTCGTTCGTTCGTTCGTTTCGTTCGTTCGTTTTTCGTTCGTTCGTTTCGTTCGTTCGTTCGTTCGTTTCGTTCGTTCGTTCGTTCGTTCGTTCGTTCGTTCGTTCGTTCGTTCTTCGTTCGTTCGTTCGTTTCGTTCGTTCGTTCGTTCGTTCGTTCGTTCGTTCGTTCGTTCGTTCGTTCGTTCGTTTCGTTCGTTCGTTCGTTCGTTCGTTCGTTCGTTGTTCGTTCGTTCGTTTCGTTCGTTCTTCGTTTCGTTCGTTCGTTCGTTTCGTTTCGTTCGTTCGTTCGTTCGTTCGTTCGTTCGTTCGTTCGTTCGTTCGTTCTTTCGTTCGTTCGTTCGTTCGTTCGTTCGTTCGTTCGTTCGTTCGTTCGTTCGTTCGTTCGTTCGTTTTCGTTCGTTCGTTCGTTCTTTCGTTCGTTTTCGTTCTTCGTTCGTTCGTTCGTTCGTTCGTTGTTCGTTCTTCGTTCGTTCGTTGTTCGTTCGTTCGTTCGTTCGTTCGTTCGTTTCGTTCGTTCGTTCGTTCGTTCGTTTTTCGTTCGTTCGTTCGTTCGTTCGTTCGTTCGTTCGTTCGTTCGTTCGTTCGTCGTTCGTCGTTCGTTCTCGTTCGTTCTTTCGTTCGTTCGTTCGTTCGTTCGTTCGTTCGTTCGTCGTTCGTTCGTTCGTTCGTTCTTCTTTCGTTCGTTCGTTTCGTTCGTTCGTTCGTTCGTTTCGTTCGTTCGTTTCGTTCGTTCGTTCGTTCGTTCGTTCGTTCGTCGTTCGTTCGTTTCGTTCGTTCGTTCGTTCGTTCGTTCGTTCGTTCGTTCGTTCGTTCGTTCGTTCGTTCGTTCGTTCGTTCGTTCGTTCGTTCGTTCGTTCGTTCGTTCGTTCGTTTCGTTCGTTCGTTTCGTTCGTTCGTTTCGTTCGTTCGTTCGTTCTTTCGTTCGTTCGTTCGTTCTTTCGTTCGTTCGTTTGTTCGTTCGTTCGTTCGTTCGTTCGTTCTTTCGTTGTTCGTTCGTTCGTTCGTTCGTTCGTTCGTTCGTTCGTTCGTTCTTCGTTCGTTCGTTCGTTCGTTCGTTCGTTCGTTCGTTCGTTCGTCGTTCGTTCGTTCTTCGTTCGTTCGTTCGTTCGTTCGTTCGTTCGTTCGTTCGTTCGTTTCGTTCGTTCGTTCGTTCGTTCGTTTGTTTCGTTCGTTCGTTCGTTCGTTTCGTTCGTTCGTTGTTCGTTCGTTCGTTCGTTCGTTCGTTCTTCGTTCGTTCGTTCGTTCGTTTTTCGTTCGTTTCGTTCGTTCGTTCGTTCGTTCGTTCGTTCGTTCGTTCGTTTCGTTCGTTCGTTCGTTCGTTCGTTCGTTCGTTCGTTCTTCGTTCGTTCGTTCGTTCGTTCGTTCGTTCGTTTCGTTCGTTCGTTTTTTTTGTTCGTTCGTTCGTTCGTTCTTTTCGTTCGTTCGTTCGTTCGTTCTTTCGTTCGTTCGTTCGTTCGTTCGTTCGTTCGTTCGTTCGTTCGTTTCGTTCGTTCGTTCGTTCGTTCGTTCGTTCGTTCGTTCGTTCGTTCGTTCGTTCGTTCGTTCGTTCGTTCGTTTTCTTCGTTCGTTCGTTTCTTTCGTTCGTTGTTCGTTCGTCGTTTCGTTCGTTCTTCGTTCGTTCGTTCGTTCGTTCGTTCGTTCGTTCGTTCGTTCGTTCGTTCGTTCGTTCGTTCGTTCGTTCGTTCGTTCGTTCGTTCGTTTCGTTCGTTCGTTCGTTCGTTCGTTGTTCGTTCGTTCGTTCGTTCGTTCGTTCGTTCTTTCGTTCGTTCGTTTCGTTCGTTCGTTCGTTCGTTCGTTTCGTTCGTTCGTTCGTTTCGTTCGTTCGTTCGTTCGTTCGTTCGTTCGTTCGTTCGTTCGTTCGTTTCCTTCCTCCCCGGTTCCCCTTTCTCTTCTTCTTTTGGCCGTCGTGTTGGCCCCGCCCTTTCAGCTCTCATC